ACACACACACACACACAATCTATAATGACTCTAATCTCTCACGATCACTTCAACAGGCTTTCAGAAGACTCTCGTCTCTCATCAAAGAGGCTTTGTGATCAAAGATCTACTTTTCCCTAGAAGATGCTGTATTTGTTTAACTTATTGTTAAAAGCTTCTATTTTCAAATATATTATTAAGCTTGAATATATTTTGATATTGTGTAACCTCTGATTATGTCTATATAGTCAAGAGGAACTGGATTTACTGTACTTACATAGATCATTGAAGGCCATTTGTATCAAGGATTGCGTTTTACAAAAGAAGAAAAATACAGTGAGTTGCACTACACAGTGAGGATGTCTTTGTGTTTTACATGTACAAAAAAAGTAAACTTTTTAAAAATCATATTGTCTTTTGAGTGTTTTTGTGACTGCTGCTCCACAGGAACTCTTAAAAAGATGTTAATTACAGTTACAAAAAATGAAATCTCCCACCCCATCAGTGATAGATTGTACAGCAACTTCTTTTGTTTAAGTGTGATGATGTTTTCTTCTTTTTCTCCTATTATCGCACAATTTTAGCGATCAAAGGTCGCTTTATTGTAATCTAGCGAGGCTCAACAGGCGTGTTTATGAAGGGTGTCATTTCAAAAAGGCGGTACAAAGGGATGATTGACAGTCCTGATCATGACGAACTCTTCCTGCACTCGACCGGACTAATTCATCTTTTAGCTGGATGCTTTTCTTCAAAACTCTAATAATACTTAACATCAAGAATAACTGTACTGAGAGACGGACACAAGGGTTATTCCTGGAGTTATGATTGAAGTAAACCTTCATCTTGGGGTGTTTGACCCTCTTTGTTTCATGATGACCTGAAGAAAAACAAACCTGCGTGTTTAGCAATCATGAACTGTAACAGTACCTGCTGACAACAATAGGGTCTGTGTGTTTCCTTTTCCTTTTGTACAGACTTTCTCCCCGGTGTGTTAATATGTGGCCCTTTGTGTAAAGCTGAAGCATTCATCCGTGAAGGAATAACCGGGTCAGAGGACTGGCTTAAAAAAAAAAAAAATCAGGATTTTGCAACACTTATTAACTGTGAAGAGAAGAAGAAGAAGATCTCATAAAATGGAAAGAACAGTGAAAGCAAATGATGAACAGCAGCACACAAACGTTCCCTCTATATTTCCATACATAGACGGAGCATTATTGACTGTTTGCCGAGGCCTTGGTACAGAGTGTCAATTTCAGACTTTAACTGTGGCTTCAAGGTCATTGAGCTATCAACTCTGGCACACTAACAAGTGGCGCGATAACCCCGACTCAGCCTTTATCTAGAGGTGCTTTAGTTCTGCCTTCATTTCTTCCAGGTATGGGTTTCGTTTCAAAGTGTTGTTTCTGTCATTATTTGAAAATTAAACGTACTTTTACCTTTTATGTGAGCAGCGTTTCAAGCCCCCTCGGTCTTTGTAGTGGTTCGATGGCACACTGGGAAGCGGCCCCAGATCCTCCAGGGGGGCCTCAAGGCCAGGCTGCACAAACACACTACAGGAATACAGATGGGTGACAAATTAAGCTATATAACAACCCGAAAGTGCCACAGTTAGCCCCAGTCTTTGGAATAGCCGTTTAGGATTTAGGCCCAAAATCTCTCGGAGATTTGGGCGACTTCAAAGCTGCACTTAGTAGTGGGACAGGGGTTGCTCATGATGACAAACCCACAGGACATTATCACCCACACAGATAATACCCTCAGGCCTTAGTTAAACAGTAAAAGTTACTAAACACAAAGTGAATATTGGACTTATAGTGGTCAGCTGGCCAGGAACATGACTCTAAATGAATGTTTTAATGTGCTTAACGTTTCAGCATTGTGTTTACGGCTTGTTCTGCTGCCTCCAAGTGGCCAAAAAGTAAACTAATGCAGCTTTAAACCTGTTTGAGAGGAAAACAAACTTTAGTAGTCGTCTATATGTAATTGGGAGCATTTCGATTGCCTCTAAACGGCTCTCAACATGTCACTGGCCAGCAGTTTGCTGCTATATTAATGTTCAGAATGTTAAATACAGCTCCTTTAACTATCTGTTCAGAGGGTAAACTACAAGTACTTCCTCTTGAAATGTACTCTACTGTAGTATTTACATGGATGTTGAACTATTTTTGAATAGTTTTGAGATTCTAATTAGCTGTCGTAATAGTATAATAGCCTGGCAATGCAACCCAAACAACTAGGCGATGTTGCCACCCCGGTCTGTTCTGAAGCGCAGCCGCGTTGCTGGTTACAGAGGTGGACTAGCGGTAGGGGGAGGATGGAGATGCGGAGTAACGGCTAACGACGGATCGACTCTGGTGTTCCCCACTAAACGTTAACGGCGACGGTCCATGACGTGAGTATGAAACCCGTTATAAATCCACCGGGATGTTGTGACATTTCACTGGTTCTAGTCGACGGTTGAGCCGCTAACGTCGACACTAAACCGGCCCGTTTGCTGGACCGTTGGTCTCGCGCTAAGGACGTTACTGCGTTTCTCGGGATAAATTCAGTGTGTTTTTTTTTAACGCTCTTTACCGATGATACCGCTTATTATATACACGATATCCGCGTTAATATTTATCTTTACGGGTAGCTAAACGTTAAAGAATGTTTAGTTGTGTCGCTAAATATTAAAAGGGCAACCTCTGTTCTTTAGGGTCCCGTGATATAAAATCCAGCACATAGCCGTGTCCCACGCCCTTGTTTTGTGATGTCTTTTTATTAAACGGCGCCGTTCGAGGCGACGGAATCTTTAAAGCAATCTCACATACGACTAATATGTACTATAAACTAATAAGTCGTTACAACAATTTACTTGCACCAAATAGCTATCGATGCCATCTTTCGTCTGTGCAACGAAACGAACCAGAAAGTAGACGGAGCCCACACACAGCTCCGTTATGTTGCATTGTGAACACGTATTATCTAGACTAAAACTTGATTTTTATATATATATATTATATTAATGTTTGCCAACTATGCATGATCTGTTTGTTAGGCAAATATAAAAGGACATTTGCCAGTTTTTTTTGTGCCGACTAAGACGTGGGTGACTATGCTTCAAATGTAAGCTGTTTTTAATGAGGTAGTCTAATACCTGACAGCTTTAAAGGGAAGGGGTGGGAATTATTGCAATAACTGTGTGCAAAAGAACAGTTTTTAGGGTATTTATGCTTGATAATTAACTTAAATCAGTCATCAATACAATAACTTTAGAAGGAAAACATGCAAGGACTCATTGCTTCTGTTTTTATATCATTGCAAATTAAATATATATGGATTTGGACCTTTTGGTTACACAAAACAACTAAATTGGAGACTTTTTCTCCCTTATAGGCTAAATGGGTATTAATGATGATTAGGTGCAATCCTATATTTACGACTAGTTATAAAAAACAGACTCCTTATCGGTGGCTTATCCAGCTGCACTTATCATCAAGTGAACGGGTTGTTTTTATCCTGCACCATGATTAATACCACTCTCTTGTTTTCTAGAGAGATGTTTCGAGCCACAGAGCTGAATACCAAACTGCCTTCTACCACCAAGAGATAGCCAGTTAACTGGATGGAGACCCAGGAGGAATGACACACCGACAGTCGGAGAAAATGCACCGGACCGGTGGATACGTTCTTCTGGTCCTGGCGTCCCTCGTGGCCTCTCGCACCACTGGGGCCCTACTATTGGGGGACGGGGACGGAAACAACACTGAGAACATCAACGGGACAGACGCGGGATTTGTCCCGGTTGTGTTCAGTAAAGTCAACCAGATAATTGCCCGCGAGGGGAGCTGCGCCGTGATTGATTGCAACGTCACCGGAGAGCCGCTCCCCAGTGTTCAGTGGTTCAACTCCCATGGAGTGCGTCTGGACACGGAGATAAATGGTGAGACGGAAGACAGGTTTATTATTTACTGTGAGGGTTAACAATTAGACATTTATGTGCTATCAGAACAAGTTAGTTAGTAGTCAGAACACGCTGACATGCACACTACGGTTGGTTTCCCTCAGGGAATAGTGTCTCAGAGGTGGTAAGGAAAACAGATCGTCTGGTCTATGAATGTATATCATGTTACATCTCACCCACACCACATGTTTGATGTCAGTGGGATTACTGGCAGACCTAATGTATAAAATAGGAAGATAATGTGAGAAGGATGCTCACATAAATGTGGGAAATATGGTTGCGTCACTGGAAAATAGGGCGGTGGTGCATCTCAATGCTTTGATGCACAGGAAGAGACGAGCCGACATGGAAAATAAGACTTGCAGGTGTTTCAGTGCACCTCGTATGTCTCTTTTTAGGACAAAAGAAGACATGTTAACATGGTGAAGTCAGGAAATCAACTCCTGGTCGAGTGTCTTCACAGTTATTGTGCTGGGTCATGAATGCAGCTATCAGAGCTTATACAGTCATGTCAGGTCCTTAGAAACCATCTTCTTCTGCAGGGGAAAGAGATATTATATTGTGTATTCAAGGGATCATGATAATGACAAAAGGGAAGAGAGATACGAAAAGACAGGAACTGAAGATCTTGTGTACGTACGGTGATGATTTTAGTCCTGGTTCCAGCCTGATGTACGCCGATTTTTCTTAAAATCTTTAGTCCTCATGTTCGTTTTGAGTATTCGTGATTGACCTTAAGAGAAGCAGCGCAGAGTGAAGAGTGCTTCTGGTGCTTCTCCTGAGCCGGCCTGTTAAAACCTGCGTTGTTGTTATGACCCACAAACCCAGAGCAGCGTCTGGACCACCACGGGGCCTCTCACAGGAATATAATCAGTGAAGGGGAGACTTTCACCCACAGCAGTCAACGGTACTCACCAAGCCTGCCCTCGCTTGTTTCCTCTGCAGATGTCTGTCTACAAACTAGCTCGTAGTATTGGGCAGCACATCAGTCACGTCGCATGATCCGGTGGCAGAGGTAAAATTAGAAAATCTCGCTCACAGGAAAAGGCGGACGGGCGTGACGGTTGTTGTTGTCGGCCGGGCTGCGTTTCCTGACCGTCCATGTGGGGAATTGATCGAGCAGCGTAGAAGGCGGTAGAAAAATGTTACGGCCTCTATCAGACTACAGATTTACAGACGCCTTCTGTGAAATCTGTCCATCTTTACTCATTACAGCCAGCAGCCCCGTTAGCTTAGCATAAAGACTGAACAAGGGGAAACACCTGGCATGGCTTTGTTTGAAGGTACCAAAATGTGCATACCGGGCCCTCTGAAGTTTGTTTATTCCGTTACTACTATTTACAGTTTTCCCCGTTTCTAGCCTCTGTGCTAAGCTAAACTAAGCTAACCATCCCATGTGCCGCCCTCAGCTTTATCTTTTAACAGACAGACATGAGAACGGCCTCAATCTCCTTATCTAACTAACTCCCCACCAGAAAGTAAATAAGCCCATACCCCAACATGTCGGACCATTCATTTGAATCACCTAATCGGTCGATCAGTCAAAATCACTACCTCATCACTTTGATAAGAGCTGATAACCAAGGCAATTACTGGAATACTCACCAAACACACCGCAGCCAGTCTGCACACACACACACACGTAAACTGTACACACACTGGTACTGGAACCATCGACAATATAAACGTATGCATTTGATCTAGACAACTCTAACCACAGGTGTCGACTGACTGGCGTTGCTGATGACTAAGTCACTGCAAGATGTTTGTTGGTTTTTCATCGGTTAATAAATACGTGCGACCAAAACAACGTGTTCTCTTGAGCTTTCGGACTCCATAAAGTTATAACAGCGCAGAAGTCCAACGTAAGCACATCCGAGTAAGCAAGTTCCTCATAAAGCGCACGATCAGCTGCAGAACCACAGCAGAGGAGAGTTTACTGCTGAATCACAGGGGAACAGATGCATTCAGAGGATTTATACTGTGAGTGAGTTAGTATTTAGTGGGTTATGTAGCAGCTGTGAATAAAAATGATTTTAAAAGCAGGTCAGCAGTTCTTTTTTTACCGCATGGTACCACAAGTAATGGATTTGTTTTAGTTCCTTTAATCTTACTCAGGGTTCTCCGTGCTCATGGCCTTCCTCCGTCTCTCTCTGTAGGGGAGAAGTGGGAGCTGCTGGACACCGGCGTCCTCAACATCACCGGCATCGAGTTCGCGGACCGCGGGAAGTACACCTGCATGGCGTCCAACGTGCACGGCAGCTCCAACTGCACGGTGACCCTGCGCGTGGTCATCACCAAAGGCGACATGGGCGTGTACTACATGGTGGTCTGCCTGGTCACCTTCACCATCATCATGGCGCTGAACATCACGCGCCTCTGCATGATGAGCAGCCACCTGAAGAAGACGGAGAAAGCCATCAACGAGTTCTTCCGCACCGAGGGCGCCGAGAAGCTGCAGAAGGCCTTCGAGATCGCCAAGCGCATCCCCATCATCACCTCGGCCAAGACGCTGGAGCTGGCCAAGGTGACGCAGTTCAAGACCATGGAGTTTGCGCGGTACATCGAGGAGCTGGCGCGCAGCATCCCGCTGCCGCCGCTCATCATGAACTGCCGCACCTTCATGGACGAGATCCTGGAGGTGGTGGGGGTGGAGGAGATGAGGCACACCTTCGTGAGGCAGGCGCCCGAGGGGTTCCGCGACACGGTGAGCCGGGCCATCGGGGGGAGGGACGTCTTCACCCTCCTGCAGGAGAGGGAGCTAGAGCAGGGGAGGGAGAGGGAACGCAGCGAGTCCCCCGCCGCCGACTCAGACAACTCCTCGGTCCAGGAGCAGCCGCAGCACATCGCCATCCAGGTGTCGGTGCACCCGCAGCTCGCCATCACCAACTACTGCAGCATCGAGGCCCCGGCTCCGCCCTCCTCGCCTCCTCCTCCTCCTTGCTCGCCTCCTCCTCCGCCCTCCTCCCCCCCGCCACCGCTCGACCACGAGGAGCAGCAGCTCGAGGAGGCGGCAGCGGAGGAGGAGGAGCCGGACGTCGAGCAGCCTGCGCCCGAACCGACAGAAGCAAATAATCCCCCCCCTCCCTGCCAGGTGTTTTATGAGAGCCACGTGTGACGAGACCACCCGACCCCGGAGGAGCCACGAGTTTATCCTGCTATGCAGTTCCACTTGAAGACAACAACAAAAAAGGTCAACAAAACATTTTTAATTTCACATTTTGGAGAGAAACAATCACATTTTTATTCATCTTTTTCCGAAGCGGAACAAAAACCTTTTCAGGCTGCTCAGAATAAATCATAAGATGTTCAGAGCCTCGAGCAGCTCGTTCACTCTAGACCATCGTGCTTGAATGTACTCGAGAGGTAATCAATAATATTATAACGTAATAAGCAGCAGTTTGTAAAGGGACATTTCATAGCTCAGACTATTATTTAAAGAACGAGGGTACTCGACTCAAACGGGGGAAATGATTCTTCAGCTTTCAGTTTCTTAAAGTTCTCGGGTTTTTATGATTATGACACCAGAAATCTGCCTCAAGCTGCTCTTCATGAAAGCTTCCTTCATCCGCTCAAAGAATTCACTTCCAGCTACTGTTACAGCTGATCCTCTGTTATTGTGCAACATCCTGCTCACAGAGAGGTGCATGCTGGACTGGAAAAAACTAAAAGTTTGGTCACCATTTCATGATTGTACAGCCTACTGTATCTCTACAACAAGTAAGTAAGCCAGGTAAATCTATGTGTGTACAGTATATCTCCTGATTGGGTCAAACACACCTCTGGGTAGAGTTGTCTGTTTCCTTTGAGTATTATTATTATTATTACCCATTGTGGTGTGATTTAGTTCTCAGCTAGCTTAAGCAGTTTAAAAAAACAAACAGATCATTTGTCTTGTAGTAGCTTTCTTTTTCTCCGCCATGTGCAGTTTTAGGTATTTGTTTGTCTTGCTTCTGCAGAGGCTTCACAGTACAGTTGCATTTGTGCTGCATGTGTAGGTGGACAGACAGCGGGACTAAAGGACTCTCTCTTTCTTTGCTTGGCTAACGGTCCAGTCTGGTGGAGGAGGAGATAAACTGGATGCTGTTCTGCTTCTTCTGGTCCACTTGAGATGGCTTCTTTTTTTTTTTGTAGTGGAATAAAATGCTGTGCTGTGTTTAAAAAAAACATTGTTTCCACCGTTTGAGTCAGTTGTGTTTCATCCATCAGTCTCACACATTTAAAACCTGGTCAGAAACGTCATTATTTGTTTTTTAGTATCACCCAGACATAAACACAAGTACATCTACTATTACCTCATGTCTCATCCTTCTGTACAAGTTTATTTAATTGTGGAATTTAACTACTTTTTCCTTGTTAAACTTGTACTCTGATAGACGCTTAAAAACATTTAAACTGTTTAATTGGAATGAGTCTGAGCAACTGCACTAAATACATTTGTATACAAGAGAAATCTCTAAATCTTAAAGGCAAAGATACTGCACGAGGTGAAAAGCAGCTGCTTTAAAACACTTTCAGCCTTTAAAAAAACGCAAATAACTAAAATTTTAACTCAGACATGATAAACACATCTCTTGAGTATATAATTATTCCCGAGGTACTACGTCCATAACACCACTAATACACATTAGTAAAAAAAAAAAAAAGCCAAAATGTTAACAAATAGAGGCTTAAAAGAATGGTGCTAACGCTGTAGGCTACAGCTAACGTGGCTTACATTGTCTCTTCTCATGCGACACTAAGGTGACAGAGGAAAGGGTTAAAATGGACTGAAATGTCTCCTCTGAAAAGTGTCCTAAAGATGTACAATCTTACTTTGGACATGCGGGTAAAACGTCTCCTTAAAAGACAACAGCAGCTGTGATACAAAGTGACCGTGACACTACACAACATGCAGCCTGTTGTTGAAAGAAATAATATTAGATCAACAAAGATTCCTTCCAAAGTCTTTAACTCCGCCAACGAACACTTTCTCTGAAGGCAGAAGCAGCGGAGGCTTACTAAAGCCAATAAATCCAGTCTCAGGTTCAGACGGTCGTGAATGATATATGTTCTGTAACGGGACACGAGGAGAAGACGACGAGCAGCAGTCAGACTCTTAGGAGTTTTAGTTTTACAAAGGCTGGTCTGTGTTTGGGAAGTGGCGGACCCCGTCACCTCTCCTGACTCACTCCCACCCCTGGGTGCCAACAGTAAAGCCGCTGTTAACGCTCATGAAGACAACTATTGTGTTTATGAGAACAGAAGGTGGACAAAACTATAGAAACACCTTACAGCAGACTACAGTGAAGCTCATAGTGCGGGACTATTCTTCCTTAACGTGTGAAGTATTTCTCTTAGGAACAGGATTATAAACTGCAAACAAACAGGAACGAGTAAAGAAGATAAAGGTTTTGTTGATTTGAAGGAACGGTAGACCTTTGGTGCAGGATGATATCTGCGTTAAAGATGCACTTCAGTGGTAAACTAATGCGTTTACATAAAGTTGTGGGACTTGAGAAATGCAGATTAGAGAATAAATCTAATTCAAAGCAGGAGAAATAGTTCCCTTGACTTTTATTCTCTAAAAAAAAATGTTAAAAACCTTAAAAAATACTGAACCCTACAAGCCTACTACTTTCAAACTCCATGCTCCCACTTTTAACAGAGGGAATGATGGGTAAACTGGTCTTCATGTATAAAATTGGTCAACTGTTCCTTTAAAGATGAACTTTTTCCGGAAGTGGCCATTTTATAGTCTATAAAACATCAATATTTTTCCTATAAAATGTATGGGACCGAAAAATCTAAACCCGTTACTAATTATTTTTGATCAAGCATTTCCTTATATTATAGTTTTATTAATATTTTTTTAAAGCAGAGTTTATGCAAGACTCCACTAAAGGTCCACACACTCACTTGTTTTCTGGAGCTTTTGAGCGTATCACACGGTCTTCCTCAGCAGATGAAGTTTAGTCAATTATGGAGCGTTCAAGACTTCTTGTAATACCCAAGGAAAAACAAACAGTTAAGGTACAGTGTGTATTTAGAGGAATCTATTGGCAGAGATGGAATAGTAACAAGTGTGGTTTCTGTAGTGTGTAATCACCTGAAAAAATAATCGTGTTTTTGTTACCTGAGAATGAGTCCGCCATGTTTCTACGGTAGCCTAGAATGGACACCCTCCGACAGGCTCGGCCCACAGAAGTCTCAGTTAGTTGCAATCTGCAACCTCACCACTAGATGTCACCAGATCTCCCCTCCCCCCACCCCCCACACACTGCACCTTTAAGCACCAAGACCACCACCCTCTGCCACGTTTTGTTCCTTTTAATTTAAACCAAAAATTGAATCTTTACATATTTGTTTTAAATGTACAATCAAACAATCAATGTAATCATACATAAAATTCTTCATAATAATGCACAACTCTATCGACACTACCCATAAATTAAAGAAAGAAAAAGAGAAAACATCGAGATCAGTATGAAATACAATGTTAGGCAACGCCACTGGTTCACAAATGTTCTGCTGCCTGTAGAAACATGACGGAAACAAGTACACAGGATGAACCCGACCTTCCTCACACACACACACACACACACACTCTCTCTCTCTCTCTCTCTCTCTCTCACACACAGACACACACTGCTGCCACTTCACAGGTAAAGTGCTACCGTTTGTCCCCGCTTCATCATCTCTCCATCACTTCAATTCCCTTCATCGTTGGCACTAAAAAACAACCGCGACACGTTACGTGTTCTGAGGACAAAGTGGGAGTAGCAGGCGTTTCTTTTTCAGTTTTTGGGGGTTCAAATACAGGTGTGAAAACTTTTGCCAGGCACTCGGCAGACGTAGCGAGACTGAAAGCAGCGTGCAGATGTAGCTGGATGTTTGTTTCACATCAGTGGTGGTGAGATGATTGACAGGATATGAAATCAAACATGTTGCTCTACACAAAAGCTCAAAAGATGATTCCTGACCTCGGAAACAGCAGTTGACCAAAACACTTCTAATTAAGGTCCACTGGTGTGTGGCTCTTCAAATCGGACTTGAGTAATTGACCAATAAATCTAATACTAACACTCGATGTGTTTTTGTTTGAACATTTAGTTGGTTATATTGGTTTTGATTTCCCGTATCTTGTCATTTTAAAGCAAAGTGTTATTAATGTCTCCGTTTAAAATCATCCGGCTCACACTGTGGCTCAAATCAAACACTATCAACTGTTGGGAAATGCCATTTAATCAACGTGCGGTAAGATACAATATCTCTTTACATTTTGTTTTTCAGTGAGTGGAAAACCATGTTTCTGATAGCGGGAGTGTTTCCTCTGATAAAGTAAAGGGGGAATAGAATATATGACAAACACTAATTCTTGCTTGAAAATAAAAGACGTTATTATTACCCGAAGACGTGGACAGATTTCAGAGGAAGAAAAGTCACCACCACCAGTCACTTAAATCAGTGCAGATTTCCAGTTTTGTTTTCCTTCAAGCCATAAAAGCTTCATTGATTACAGAAAGATCAAAGGTCTAAAAGATAGCAAGAGTCAGACTTTGAGGAGAAAAACGAAAGTTGATATATTTAGTTTCCTGTAACAGAGAACACAGAAGAACTCAACGGACACTTTCTTTTTTTTTTTGTTTGTTTCCTTTAGGTACACACTCGACCTGCCTTCACACTGAATGACTCAACAACAATGACGCACACACACACACAGCTGAAGCTGGCTCAGAAAGGAAATCGCATGCTCACAAGGGTCTTCATTTTTCCATTTCTTTTCCTTCTGACAGGGAACAGTTTTGTTGTTGAAATACATTACCCATCGATTTCTGACCCCCAACACACACACACCACACACACACACACACACACACACACACACACACACC